CTCGAAGGGACAAGCAACGGGCCGCGGGGGGGACGCGGAGGATCTCGAAGGGACAGGCAACGGGCCGCGGGGGGACACAACAGGGACGATCACGTGGGGGGCCGTATGCCTCAGCTCGGCGGTCCGCACCGGACACGTCGGCCAGGCCTCCAACTTCCGAGAACGGGCTGCGGCCACCGCTGCCGTGACGTCGCAGCAAGCAAACGGGCGCGCAGCGGCTGCCAGCACCTTGGCACGAGCACAGCAAATGAATGCCACGCCCAAGCCGCGGATATGCCAGCCCCAACGCGCCCGAGGGCTTGCAGCGGGTCCAAGGGACGGTGGCTAGAATCGGGTCGTCACCGGGATCTCGAAGGGACAAGCAACGGGCCGCGGGGGGGACGCGGAGGATCTCGAAGGGACAGGCAACGGGCCGCGGGGGGACACAACAGGGACGATCACGTGGGGGGCCGTATGCCTCAGCTCGGCGGTCCGCACCGGACACGTCGGCCAGGCCTCCAACTTCCGAGAACGGGCTGCGGCCACCGCTGCCGTGACGTCGCAGCAAGCAAACGGGCGCGCAGCGGCTGCCAGCACCTTGGCACGAGCACAGCAAATGAATGCCACGCCCAAGCCGCGGATATGCCAGCCCCAACGCGCCCGAGGGCTTGCAGCGGGTCCAAGGGACGGTGGCTAGAATCGGGTCGTCACCGGGATCTCGAAGGGACAAGCAACGGGCCGCGGGGGGGACGCGGAGGATCTCGAAGGGACAGGCAACGGGCCGCGGGGGGACACAACAGGGACGATCACGTGGGGGGCCGTATGCCTCAGCTCGGCGGTCCGCACCGGACACGTCGGCCAGGCCTCCAACTTCCGAGAACGGGCTGCGGCCACCGCTGCCGTGACGTCGCAGCAAGCAAACCTGCGCTGCCGATTTTTCCAGTTGGTGTCAAGGCTGCCACCGCCCCCGTTTCTGGGCCGGCCCCCTTTTTCATCAAGCCTTGGATGGCCACACTCGCCCTGCACAGCCCATTCTGTCGACCTGGCCGATTTCGTCGGGGCTGCCGATTCTCCCCGACATGCCTGCGGCAATCCCACTCTGCCCTGCCGATTTTTCCAACTGGTGGCATGGCGGCCACCGCCCCAGTTTCAGGACCTGCAGTCCTTTTCATCATGCCTTGGCTGGCCAGGCTCGCTGTCCCCAGACCATTCTGTCGACGTGGCCGATTTTGTCGGGGCTGCCGATTTTTGCCGACACGCCTGCGGCTGCGCTGCCGATTTTTCCAACTGGTGGCCTGGCTGCCACCGCCCCCAGTTTCTGGACCAGCCCTCATCTTCGTCAAGCCTTGGGTGTCCAGGCTCGCCTCCTCAGCCCATTCTGTCGACGTGGCTGATTTCATCGGGGCTGCCGATTTTTGCCGACATGCCTGCGGCTGCCCAACTCTGCGCTGCTGATTTTTCCAACTGGCGGCCTGGCTGACACCGCCCCCAGTTTCTGGACCAGCCCTCTTTTTCGGCAAGCCTTGGGGGTGGCCAGGCTCGCCCTCCTCCGCCCATTCTGTTGACCTGGCTGATTTTGTCGGGGCTGCCGCTTTTCCCCGACATGCCTGCGGCTGCCCAACTCTGCGCTGCTGATTTTTCCAACTGGCGGCCTGGCTGACACCGCCCCCAGTTTCTGGACCAGCCCTCTTTTTCGTCGAGCCTTGGGTGTCCAGGCTCGCCCTGCACAGCCCATTCTGTCAACCTGGCCGATTTTGTCGGCGCTGCCGATTCTCCCCGACATGCCTGCGGCAGCCCAACTCTGCGCTGCTGATTTTTCCAACTGGTGGCATGGCTGCCACCGCCCCAGTTTCTGTACCAGCCCTCTTTTCCATCAAGCCTTGGGTGGCCAGACTCGCCCTGCACAGCCCATTCTGGCGACCTGGCCGATTTTTGCCGACATGCCTGCGGCTGCGCAACTCTGCGCTGCCGATTCTTCCAACCGGCGGCATGGCTGCCAGGCGATTCCAACACAGCCTTGGACCGTCCGGTCCCGAGATCCCGGGATCGCTGGCCGATCGCAATCCAGCCTCCACGACGCCGTGCTCCTGGAGGGGCTCGGGGGGGACGAATCGGAGCGACATGGGGCTGAATCTCAGTGGATCGTGGCAGCAAGGCCACTCTGCCACTTACAATACCCCGTCGCGTATTTAAGTCGTCTGCAAAGGATTCTACCCGCCGCTCGGTGGGAATTGTACTTCAAGGCGGCCCGCGCGGCTCTTTCACCGCGAGGGCTTGGCCAACGGCACGTGCCTCCGGGGCCGAGAGGCCCCTACTGCAGGTCGGCAATCGGACGGCGGGCGCACGCGTCGCGTCTAGCCCGGATTCTGACTTAGAGGCGTTCAGTCATAATCCAACGCACGGTAGCTTCGCGCCACTGGCTTTTCCAACAAGCGCGATGACCAATTGTGCGAATCAACGGTTCCTCTCGTCCTAGGTTGGATTACTATTGCGACACTGTCATCAGTAGGGTAAAACTAAC